GCCCCCCCCCCCCAAAAGAGATTATTCCGTTTTTGAGACCAGTAATTTTTTCAGGCTTCAATGATGAGCTTTCTGTTGCATGGTCAGACTTCTCAAAGCAGTAAGCTAGCACTAAATGACAGCATACAGATACTTACTCCATCAGATTGCATACACTGTGGACCTTGAGGTATACCACAATTACTATGTGCTTGTGTACTGTGTGCCTCAGTTCAGCATAGTTACTTTTCAAAATTTGCCATAGAAAACCCTGTGATTAAAGTTCACTTTAAAAAAAAAATGAAACCAGGGGCCACTTGTAAAAGCAAATCTACGTTTACATATACAGTGTTGTGTTCTCTGTTACATTTTTCACGAGGAGAAAGCTGTGTGGGTCAGTTTTCTAATAGAAAACCTGCTGTTGGGCTTTTTGTAGGGAGGCTTCTAGGTTTCCTTTTTTTGTAAAATACACTTTCATAGAAATGTATTACTTTTTAATTATGGCAGTTATACAGTTTTAATGATGCAATAAGTTGATTTTAAAAATAGGGATTGTTGTATGAAAATTTAACATCCTGGAAGTTGTTGTTTTCTTCAGCAATGCTGAAGACAAGGCTGTTTCAGTGCCTTAAGCTAGCGGTGTAGATTGCTACATGGAAGACTTCTGACTACTTCTCTGATGCTTGCTTCCCCATGCTGGCAGGTGTTTGAACCTGCTACCTGCACAGCACTGAGTTGTGTGGGATTTGCATTACTCAATATAATTCTTGCTTCTTCCTGCCCCAGTGCTAGGTGACCCAGGTTCTTTCTCCCACCCACTTCTCTCTGACCTGTTCCTCTTCCAAAATAGGAAGGCTTTTTGCCTTCTAATCCCTTGCCCAAATGCCCCAATTCTTCCTTCTCCAGCTCAGTTATTTGTTTCCCTTTCCTCATACACCCAGTTCCTTTCACCATGCAACACTGAAAGCATGTTTTGTCCATTAATAATATCTGGGGCGGGGGGGACTGACAGAGCTCACCTGTGGAGATTCATTTAAAAAAAAGGGTTCTGAGGGCCCCTTGGAAAATTATTTTTAGGGAGAGCATTGGTAGCTGGAATGTGGGTTTCCAAGAAGTGGGCATATGTGTGCATGTGGGGGGCATACAGCTGAAAATCTGAGCTAGAAGTGTGATTCATTAGGGTCCAACAAATAAGCTTGAAGAAAAAAACTATTATATTACAGTCAAATGCTTGGCAAATATTTTTTTTTATCAGAATAATATTTAAGTTATATAAAGGACCAAGAAATGTCTGTAACTGGTAATTTTCCATTTTTCAGTTGAGAGTGACTAAATCTTGTTAAAAATTATATTCAAATAAAATTCCTCTGGAATTGAGACCAAGTAATGCCAAGTTTCTGTCTACCATTAATTTTATGACCAAGTAATACGCTCCTGCAAATGGAGTCTGTACCTGAAGTGCTGACACAACCCGAACTGTAGTGGCATGAAGTAGGCACTATAATTCAGCTGAATGAAGAAGTCTCAGGAGAGTAATGGAATGTCTTTCTTTGCTTAAATATACCTCTGCATTCATGAAGAATAAACAGTAACATTTTGTGCAGGTTTCTCCCTTCTGACAGTGTGTCTTTGTTCAGTCTCCTAAAGGTGGTGTCAAATACATCACTGAAAAAATAATAAACTTCCCAATTTGCATTTTTTATTTTACTTAACTGATTGCATGGAACTTTTATAAGCCTTGAATAGCTTAGCTGTTTTACTTGTATTGCAATGTATTTGGAGAATAAAGGCTCACTCAGAGCAGTTAGCACTGGTTAAACAAACCTGTCACTGCTGACTGTATATGTTCAAACAGGAGGATATCTGTACGTTTTTTATTCTACATCTTACACATCTGATCAAATAGGACACTGAAGAACTTTACCTGCTTTGTCTCCAGAGTCAGGGTCTGTTTTCTGAACAGAAGGGGCAGTGCCACCAAGCTATTGCTTTCAGAATGAGTTGCTTCTAGAAATGGCAAATGCTGTCATATTTGGATAGCTAGGTATCCTTGTGTTGTGAGAATTTAGTATCGATAAAGAGCTTGAATTCAACATCTAATCAGCCATCAGTGAATGTGTAGCTCCCATTATTGTTACTGAAAGTTACACATCTTTATTAGTAGTGGAGTTTAGTGGTACTTGTTCTGAATGGGGTCCAAACCTATGAGGAGGCTCAAGCACTAGAGAAGTTTTTACATGTGCTCCAAGGATGGGGGTGGGGACATTTAACTATAGCAACTCCGAGAGCCGCTCTAATTAAAGTGCCCACAGTGTCTTGTGTATCAGCATCACTGCACTTCAAAATTGCAGCAGGGGCTTTAATCAGGATGCTGATACATGAAACATGGAGGTTGCTGGAGGTGCTCTAATTAGCATGCTCCAGCAGACTCTATTAATTGAGTCTGCTCTGACACGCTGTAATTACAGCACATTAAAGCAGCCTTCCTGCACATCTATAGGCACCCAATGGTAAGACAATGAGTGAACAACAAATTAATGTTGTTTAAACCTATATGATCATCTTGGGTGTGGGTGGGAGTGGAGAGAGAATTAAGACTGTTAAGCTGTGTCCACAGGAGCAGGGGTGTGTTTGCAGCAACAACAAATAGTAGCAGCCCACATTTGAGCCACTACTCTGTGTAGCCATGCACTCCCCTGCCCATGCACTTTGCAGCAGGACACACTGTCACTCTGCATTATGTGCTGCAGGGGAGCATGGCTGGGACACAGGGTGCTTCAGTGTGGGACTAGCTGGCAGGCAGCCCCTGTGCTGAGGCACCCTGCACCCCAGCCAGCCGGGGAGCAGCATGTGGAGATGGAAGCTGCCTGCTCCCCCGTCTCCGCACACGGCAGAACCTCCTCACTGAGATATCCTGCACCCCAACCAACCTCTCCCTGGGTGGCTGGGGCACAGTGTGCCTTGAGATGGGGGAGCAGCCAGCCCAGGGCTGCCAGCTCCCCTGTCTCAAGGCACTCTGCACCCCAGACAGCTGGGGAATGGCTGGCTAGGGCACAGGGTGCATTGAGATGGGGCCTCAGTAGTGTGTGGAGACAGGGGAGCAGGCAGCCCTGGGCAATCCCTATATCTGTGTTTGTCCCAGCACATCACTGTTTTTTTTTTCCAGCTTTTTTTTTT